TTGTATTTTTTTGCCACAATTCTTCTTGACCCACAATTTGCAATGGGCTATGGCTCCGTGCTCCATATCTGTATATAAGCTGCTGACTGACCACTCACACACTAACCACATACCAAAAAAGGATTTTGGCCATAATAACCGGTCAAGAGATGAGAAGAATAGCATGTCGTTTTTGTCGCTCTACCAAAGAAGTACCCGAGAAATGATAGCGTGTTACACCACAAAATGAAAAAAATAAAAATGTTCTTATTCTAGAATTCCACTTCAAATTCTATCTTTGGCAGATCTGATCGTTCAAGGTGTCGTTTTCCGCATTCTCAGCACTCTCACCCTCTGGTTATTTTATTTTATTTTTTATTTGTTTGTTTGCTTATTCTTAATGGTATCAGATGCAAGAACAAGTACAGAATAGAACACCTCACACAGAAGTGGAAGCAGAGGCTGCCTCTGGAGGTGGTGGAGGATGCACCAGAGGATTATGCGGAAAATAATACACTAAGCAATTCGCAATTCGTTGCATTTTGTTTGTTTGTCTGTTTACTTTACGATATCGAGGGAATTGTGCCAATGTGTTAGCAGTACGCAATAAGCGGGGCTTGAATGGAAATGGCATGGCTGGCAATGGTTGAATGGATAGATGGCCTTATATGTTTGTTTGTCTGTCCGTCTCTAAATGTGTGGTATTCCCAAAGAGTGTTGGGGTATCATCATCATCGGCATCATTGTGATCAACACTACCATTAGCCGCATTACGCTTTTGTCGCTTTCAATGGAAAATGAGCCCGATCCTCCACAATGCCGCTGCTGATGATGGCTAAGATGTACTTTGCAGCGATTTTGGGTTTCGCTTTTTCCGTTTCATTCTTGGCCACATTAGAAGAGGCCAACAGCAGCAACAACAACAAAAATAAATTGTTAACACATTACTATATTTGAAAAGTTGCCATCAAATTGTCTGGTGGCTTTCCCTCCCTCCGCACATGCCAAGGCTATAATAATGTGTGGCCATTATTGGCTATTGAATTGAACCCGTATATTTTCTTCTTCTTGTTGTTTCTATAAAGAAGTGTTGTTGGTTTGATATTGATCAAATCTATTTGGTCACTAAACGAAAAAAATTCTCATTGAGGTGATGTTGTTGTTGTTGCCTTTTTTTCATTCATATTGCCACATTGACATCATTTTAGGAACCGCACTAGAATTGAGATGTGTGCTATTTGGTCTCAGGTCATTTCGATTATTTGGTGGATTATAGTTGTTGTAGTTATTATTGTTGTTGCTGTTTGTGGTTTTCCGTTAGCAGTTTTTTTATTTTTATTGTCCCTATCCAAATGAATTGCAATTGTGCTTGGTCGTTTTGGGGGAGCTTTCTTTAAAAATTAGTTTGGTTTGCTAGATAGAAATCTCAAAAAGTTTCCTGTTGAGATTTTTATGACTATCATAATCGGAATACAAGACACGAAATATGCCATAAATAATTAATATCCCGAATATTTCTTCTTTGTTGTTATGTTTTGAATGAATACGCGATAAAAAAATAAAATTAAATTCTGGTATTAATTAAATTTCATTAAATATATTTTCATATCATTTAGAGGCCTTCTAGATGCAGAATATGATTTCTGGAGAAAGGAGACATATTTAGCACATTTTATGAAAAAAGACAATAATTTCTACTGTAATGAAGGTCCTATGCTCTTAGAGGTCTTCTAAAGGTAGAAGATTTATTAGAGGACCTTCTATAGATATTTCATAATATGATCATTGGAGATCATTCTATAAACAGATGTCCTTGTAACGGTGTTATACATCTCGACTTTTAGGTATATTATATTGAAAGATCACCCCTAAGATCTTCTGTAGGCAAAATACGACCTAGAGATATTTTTCTAGAGGCCTTCTATAGACAGATATGTTCATGCCATTAAGAGAGTACATTTTTTGAAGACACGTGACGAATTCTGCTTTAATAGAAGTCCTATAGAGGTCTTCAAATGCAAGAAGATTTTCAAGAGCACTCTCTACAGGTATTCCATTGTCAGATCTTTGGAGGTCAAATAGTAATTGTAATGATCTTCTATAGATCGACATCCAGAGGTATTCCATTGATAAATGATTCCAGTGATCTTCTATAGACAGAATACCATCTGGAGATTTTCTATAGAGAAAATATATTGTAGGGGTCTTCTATAGAGATATTTTTTTACAAGAAATTCTGGAGGTATTATATGGATAGAGCACTAATAAAAGTGTTATAAAGATAGAGCACTAATAAAAGTGTTATATTCGAGAGGACTTTAAATCGTCATAATCATTTTATCACAAGTAATTTTAATTTTTTCTATAGACCGAAGTCCTTTAGTAGACGACCTACAGATTAAAGATCGCACATAAAATTTCCCGAGGCCCTTTTTTAGCAGATGTCTTCCAGCTTATGGGGAAAGGTCTTCAGACCTGATACCGGATAGCTATCGGAGATCTTCTATAAATATATTCTTTTGACGAAAACCCTTCTGGAGGTACTATATGGACAAAACATATATCTTAAAAAGATATACTACCTTCGGAGGATTTCAAAATACCGAAATCTTTCTAAAGTTCCGATTTGTGGACAGAAGTCCTTTAAGATTTTTTCTATAAAACAAAGCCCTTTAGTAGAAGTCCTACTGATTAAAGATCGGGACTTAAAACTTCCAGAAGACTTTTATATAGGGGTTTTCCATCTTATGGGGAAAGGTCTTCAGATCTGAGTAATGATACCTATCAAAGATTACATTAGAGGTCTTCTAAAAGAATGACTTTAGGAGTTTTATGTCTTGATCTTAGGTATGTAGAAAATTTAAAAGACACTTCTGACAATAGAAAACATCTTAAGGGACTATGCCTATAGATGATTTGTAGAAATTTCCTGATATGTAGTATTCCGGTCTCAGGTTTGAAGACCTTATTGGCCCAAGTCCTTTAGTAGAAGACCTACTGACTGAAGATCAGGACATAAAATGCCTTTTAAGAAGACATACCTAAGACAGGATACCTATCGGACGCCGTCTATAGAGACCTTTCTTTGACTGAAACAATTCTAGATGTCTTCTATAGACATAACACGTACATAAGTCTAATAAAAATAGACTAGCTCCGAAATAATTTCGAACTACCGAAATTTTTATACTGATCTTCAGTGGACAGAAAATTCTTCTAGACAGAATATATCCAAAAATTTTCTATGGGCAGAATATCTCAACGTCTTCTAGAAAGACGACATCATGAGATCGTCTTTTTAAAGAACGTCCAGATGTTGGCTATAGAAAGAGGACCTCTACAAACCGTATACCTTCTAAAAATAGTTCCTAAGGTATTTTATAAGGATGTCTATATAATTAGAGAGCACTTATATCTGCCTAAGATATATTTCAATGTTCTTTTCGCAGGAGTATTGTCTAGTGGAATAAAGGACAAACTTCTTCGGACCGAAGACCTTCTACAATAAGCCCTCCTGGTAATGATTTCTTAGAATATATATTTTCCATAGAACACCTCGTTTCTATAGAAAAATACTTTCTAAGACCTTATATATAACGATGTGGAAGAAGAAGACAGAATACCTAATAGAGGTCTTTTAAGGAAAGGCGACTTTCTTCATAGAAAAATAACTACTGTGGTCAGCTACAGAAATAATTTCAGAGGTCTTTTATAAACGGTGGACTTTCTTGATGTATTCTATGTATAAGCTTCCTGCTGAGGAAGTCTATAACATTAGAGAGAACTTATATGACCGGGACATAATTGGATCATTTTATTTTATTGACCTTTCAGAGGACTGCAGTTCCGAAGACCTTCTAGAGGTCTTTGCGAACTTTCTAAAAGTCATCTGTACACAGAAATCCTTTAAAATATTTTATATTGAGTCTCTAGGTTTTCTACTGACCTAAGATCGCAACACACAATTTCCAGAGACCTTCTATTTAGAAATCTATAGGCCTTTTACCTTATGGAGCAAGGTCTTCAGAGGACCTTCTAAAGCTTCCTATAGAAGTGAAAACTCTAGGGACTGTCTAAGGATATAATATAATATATCGGGGTATTGTTTGGACGGCACTAGTTCTGAGGTATTTGAGAAGACCTCCTGAGGTTTTTTATAGAGATTATTCCTCCTGAGGTCTTTTATAGAGCTTATTCCTCCTCAGATTTTCTATAGAGACGAGACCTTGAGATGAGACCAACAGAGGTTCCAGAGAAAGAAAATCTATAAATTGAAAATATGGAAGAAGGTGAGGCGTGAAAACTCTATGGACCGTCTAAGGATATAATATAATATATCGGGGTGTTGTTTGGACGGCACAAGTTCTGAGGTATTTGAGAAGACCTCCTGAGGTCTTTTATAGAGATTTATATAGAGACGAGACCTTATGGGGAGAGATGAGACGAAAAGAGCTTCCAGAGAAAGAAAATCTATAAATTGAAAATATGGAAGAAGATGAGGCGCGCATTTTTTTAAATTTTTTTAGCAGCCAATAGAAGCGTAGATTTTTTAAAAAATATTTTTAGTGGTGCCAATAAAGGCATCGATATTTTAAATATTATTTTTAAGGGTTCAAAAAAAAATCGATGGATTAAAGTTTCGGAGTCTGTAGTTGAGGATTTTTTAATAAATAAAAAATTAAGTCGGCAATAAAATGTTGTCATAGTTATGAATAGAGCCAACACAAAAATGTCGACTATGAACATACAAATTTGGTAAAAATTACAATGTAAGTTCCAAATACATTATTATTTTATAATATTATGAATTTTTTTTAAAAATTAAAAAAAAACATATACAAATGACCATCACCTCGATAATGAACATATTAAATAAATTATGAATTTGTTGTGAATTATAAATTCTTTTTACAATGCGATGTAACAAACATACAATTGTTTATGTATTAAAAGGGGGATGAAGTATATTACAACAAATATACAAAACAAATTATAATAAAAAATAAACAAGTGCAACTTACCTTAGGTGGTGGTCCAGAGGGTTTTGAGATTTGTGTCTTTTCGGTGGCAGATGATGAGGGACGCTTCAGACGATTGTGGGCAGCTAAAATGACAAAAAATATTACAAACAGATAATTAATACCTCATCATAAACATACATTTTACTATTACATACAAAGAAAGTTTATTTGTTGTAAAAAAATAAAAGTAATAAAGAAAAAAGTGGAGAGAGAAATCAATAAAACAATAGAGTGACAATTGCATTTTCACTTTCAACCATAAAAAGCGAAGCGCACATATAAACATACATTCAGACTCAAACAAACAAAGAAAGAAAAGAGAAGAAAAAAATTAAAGTTCATTAACAAGAAATGAGATAAACACAAAAGTGATTTTTAAAGACTTTGCCGCGGAACAATAAACGGATATACGTGATTTAGTTATTAAAGAATTGTGTATTGAAAAAATAGAAAAAAACATATGATTTCAAACATAATAAGATTTCTCAATCGTATTATGTGTAACAAAAAAAAAAGAAATTAAATATAAAAAAAAAAAAATACTAAACATATGGTCACGACAAGCCATATCTAAAATAATTAAATTTGTTTCTTATACTATTTTTTGCTTAATTATTATTTTCATGATTTTATTTATTTTCACTATCTATCTAACCATCAAGAAACAAACAACCAGACCAAAATTTCAATCAGTTTTGGTGGTGATGGCAAAGCCTAGCTTAACACAGATATGGGTGAAATACAAAATGTTGGGCTTCAATGTTTTTTTCATTTGTTGTCGAACGAACACGCACCATCTGTTCGACGGTGGCGACCATACAAAATCAATTAGTGATACGTAAAGTTATAAAGAAATGATAATAAAAATAAAAAAATCTAGTAACAAAAATTATGAATGAATGAAAAAGAAATTTTTAAAAATGATCATCTAAACCCCTCCCACAATTTGATTTTGGGGTGACAGTGGGACATAAGTATTTATACCCAGCACCACACTGTGGTACAGGGTATTATGTCTTTGTGCATATGTTTGTAACAGACAAAAGGAAACGAGATAGACACAGGGTTCCTTTTGAGAATATGCATAGAATCAATTTCTAAGTCGATTTATAGATGTCCATCCGTCCGTCTGTCTGTCCATGTTAGATATAGCTCCCATATATATTTTCGTCCGGTTTAAGGTAAATGTTGCACCAAAGGCCCTCAAATATATTTCGATTTGCACGAAATTTGGCACATCATACTGAATTGAGTGTAGAATAATGTGTGCTAAGTTTTGTGAAAATCGGTTCAGATTTAGATATAGCTCCCTTATATATTTTCATCCGATTTAAGGTAAATGGTGCACCAAAGTCCCTAAATATCTTTGGAAATTTGGCACAGCGTACTGCATTAAGCCTCGAATGAAGTGTGCTAAGTGAAAATCGGTTCAAATGTAGATATAGCTTCCATATATATTTTCGTCCGATTTAAGGTAAATGTTGCACCAAAGGCCCTCAAATATCTTCCGATTTGCACGAAATTTGGCACAGCATACTGAATTGAGCCTAGAAAGATGTGTGCTAAGTTTCGTGAAAATCGGTTCTGGTTTATATATAGCTCCCATATATATTTTCGTCCGATTTAAGGTAAATGGTGCACCAAAGACTCAATATATTCTTCGATTTGCACGAAATTTGGCATATCGTACTGAATTGAGCCTAGAATGTTGTGTACTATGTTTCGTGGAAATCGGTTCCGATTTAGATATAGCTCCCATATATATTTTCGTCCGATTTAATGTAAATGGTGCACCAAAGTCCCTAAATATCTTTCGATTTGCACGAAATTTGGCACAGAGTACTGCACTAAGCCAATAATGATGTGTGCTAAGTTTCGTGAAAATCGGTTCAGATTTATATATAGCTCCCATATATATTTTCGTCCGATTTAAGGTAAATGTTGCAACAAAGGCCTTCAAATATCTTTCGATTTGCACGAAATTTGGCACAGAGTACTGAATTAAGCCGATAATGATGTGTGCTAAGTTTCGTGAAAATCGGTTCAGATTTAGATATAGCACCCATATATATTTTTGTCCGATTTAATGTATATGATGCACCAAAGACCCCATATATTCTTCGATTTGCACGAAATTTGGCAGATGCAGCCACAGCTTCCATATGTATTTCGAACGGGTGTCTGATTGAAATTAAATTTTTAACATTGTGGCGTACCGAATAGCTTGTATAAATTTTGCTATAAATCGTTTTCCATAAATTTGTCCCATGGTATGGAGACGAGGGAATACAATGGCATACAATGGTAAGAATACATATGTACTATAATGATACCCAACGTGGTGAAGGGTATCATATAGTCGGCCCAGTCCGACTTTACCATTTTCCTTACTGGTTTAAAAATTATTTTTGGGCTGCCAATAAAAGCTTGCCAAATAAAGCGTGTTTAAAAAGTTTCTTAATTATTTTTTATCTAAAAAATCCGAAAAAAACCCACTGTGCATATTGTGATGTACTATGTATATCACGATCATATCAATATCATTGAATACCATCTAAAATATCTCTTCAAAGTAACCGATGAATGAATGACATAGTGGTGCGGTTGTAAGTATTCCCCCATTCCCAAACTAGCAAAGACAGACAACAGTGGCAGGCAAGCAGACACAACTGTCGGGCCATTGATATTTAACAAAACCAACAACACGTACGCACAAACATATATCAAAGAAGAAGACAAAGAAAAAAAGTAGCTTAACCTATAATTTCACATCTTCACACACACACTCGCACACACATTTGATTATTATTAATTTCACTTTAATTGAATTTATTTTTTAAGTCTACAAGGCAAGCCAAGTCGGTAACAACAACAATTTAATTTGGCAGCGGAAAATGAATGACCACCAATTCCACAAAGTAAACAACACACAAGACGTGGCGACAAAGCCACTTAAAGAAACAAACAGAAAAAAACACTGAAACTTTGTTGCTTTGGTTCAGCAGTGTCAGAAGAGCAAGATGATATAGGTAATTTTGTTGTAACGATTAGAGAGGTTGTTATGTTATTAAAAATAAATTAATAATATAATAACAAAAATAAAATGAAAATAAAATAAAAAAAAACAACAACAAATAGAGATATCTTCACATCCGTACATATTGTGTTATTTTGTGAAGAGGAATGACTGTCAGACTGATGGCCAGCAATTTATGACACGAGACTTAAATCTTACACAGGTTGAAGGGAAAACAACATATCATCATTTTGATTTTTTGTGTAAATTTGTTTGTAAACCTTTTTTGTTTTATTGGTTAAGCCTACAAACATAATTTGCATATAAATTTAAATATCAATCAAATGGAATTGATATAGTGGGAATGAACAAAAAACGAGTAGAAGATGATGGAAATTAGGAATCTTTTGTGATTAGCCTTCAAACAAGACAGGGCAATTAAATACCCACATGTCGATGAAAGGGTGTTTGTAACAAACAAGCATCATTAATCAAACGTTTTTATGGGATTTTATTTCCACTTGCTTGGAGGTTAGACAATTATCTATATTTTGTAAAACAGTCACTATTTTTGAAAAGGTCTCATTTTTCAATGTGCACCTGTCATCATTTACATAGGTCAAATGGGTCAAACAAAGTTTCAAAGGGCTTTTAATTTTCAAATTTAATATTTTTACACATTTTTTTACAATAACAGCAAAATCAACTATGAATCGTCTTCGATATACTAGTGAGAGATAAATAATTAAGAAATATAGACCAAAAGACTTAAGCAACACACTGTTATAATTTAAGTAGAGTAGTAATTCTCAGTTCCAAGTGACTTCATTAAAACAAAAAAAAGTAACCATAAAATGGTGAGAGAGAAACATACATTACAAGAATAAATAATAGGGGCATATCAAATCAAAAGATTTAAGAAACATACATGATGAGAAGATCAGTATGGTGTAAAACAGAGAGAGAGAGAGAGAGAGCTTATTGTGGCATGCAAAATATAATCGCATAAAATTGACACTAAATCAGTGATGCTCATTGAGAGATTTATAAACCAAAAGACTTCCCGCCTATGCAAAATAACAGAAAATCTAAATTGAGAGAGAATACGTGTGGTATGGTTTCACGAAAACGTAAACGAGAGATTATTCAATTGGACAATTAAAAGACTTAAGAAATAAACACGAATAAAATGGAGTCAAACGAAGAGTGTTCAAATTCAGAGATATACAATTAATATAAAATGCAGAGAGAGAGAGAGAGAAATTTTTACGATATATAAATGACTTAAGAAACAAACTCAACTAAGGACTTTATTAGTGTTCAATGCAGTAGCAATTTAATAATTCCAATCAAAAGACTTAGGAAACAAACTTTAAAAAATCTCTCGATATTTCAAAGAGAAAAAATCTGTGATTTTTTAACAAAAGAGTTAGGAAACAAACTTGTATAAAATCACTTATAATATGAAGTAAAATAAAAAATACGATTTTCAGAAATACAAACAGAAAGTCCTATGTGACAAAACTGGGGTACGAACTTCAACATAGCGAAATTTAAGGGGGACATTAGTGTGAGGGCTATGTTGTATAATTTTTAGAAATAATTCATATATTCAATGGGAATCCGACTCCAAATTAGAGCAACTTCGATGAAAAAATTCGATTAAAAAACTCAATAACGCAGGCATCGACTGATATCGAAAATTGTCCATAAATAGGGGAGAGGGGGGCACCTTAGAACGTGGGGCACCTTTGAACAGCGTCCATAAAATCTTGGTTTAATATTTTTCCGACCCGCAACCACATTTTTGTATATGGCAATCTTGTTCTCTATATGCGTAAACCACTTTGGCTTTCAGTTGTCGAAAAATTGTGCATGGGTGACCATGTTTTCTGAAAATTTATTGTAAATTTTATTCATACTGTTGATAGTTTCTTTCTACAAACAAAAGTTTTGCATTCCAACAATCATTTCAAACATAACTAATGTAATTTCTTTCATATATATTTATTACAAAAAAGTTATTTTAAATTTTTAAAATGCCATAGGATGGCGGAAATAAATTTG